GCTGTTTGAAACAGAGGGCAGACTCCGGTGGAAAAAAAAATGGTGGAAACAAAACGTGTGGTGTATCATTAGAGGAGATTAAAAGAGAAAATATTAACAGTAGAAAACGACAAGAACCTATTCCGGGGGGGGGGGGGGGGGGGGGGGGGGGGGTGCGGAAGAGACGAAGCGGCTCGGAGTCCCAAGGACGGAGGCTTCCAAAAGAGGAAAAAAGAACTCGAGAGTATATTCTCCTGCTGTCCACTCTCGTCTAATCACCGTTCGATGGCCCCTGCCAAGCTCCCAATGAGAAGGAAAGATGTAGACAGGGGGAGGTTAACCCGTGAAGCTGGTGTGTGGGGAGAGAGAGACACAGAGAGAGAGAGAGAGAGAGAGAGAGAGAGAGAGAGAGAGAGAGAGAGAGAGAGAGAGAGAGAGAGAAAAGGGAGAGAGAACAGAGAGAGACATGGAGAGAGTAACACAGAGAGAGTCTCAGAGAGAGAGGATAAAGGAGAGGACAACACAAGAGAGTCAGCATCTCTTCATAAGTGACAGCAGCCTTCCATCTGGCAGAGATGTGTTCGTCTTTGAGGCTTTCCTTATGTGGAAAGGCTGTTCCGTCATCTTCTATCGTGTTCTTTCCTTATGTGGAAAGGGGTTTCTGCCATATCTATTTCATCTTCATGATTTCCACCATAGCAGCTTTCGTCTTCATGCGTTCCACCATAGCTGCTTTCGTCTTCAGATGCTTTGCAACATAACTGCTTACGCTTTCCACCATAGCTTCGTTCGCCTTCATGGCAGGTTGCTGGATTGCATCGATGACACCATCGCTGCTTTCGTCTTCCTTCTTTCCACCATAGCTGCTGCTTTCCTCTTCGTGCTTTCCACCATAGCTGCTGCTTTCCTCTTCGTGCTTTCCACCATAACTTCTGCTTTCGTCTCCCTTCGTTCCACCATAACTGCTGCTTTCCTCTTCCTGCTTTCCACCATAGCTGCTGCTTTCCTCTCCCTGCTCTCGCCTTCATGCTAGATTGCTGAATTGCAGCGATGATGGCACCATCGCCGGAAGAAGATAACCAATCAGTGATGCGCCGCCATAGCCAAAGCTTCGGAGCACACCTTTCCACCATAGCTCCCTTCCCTTTCTCTTCTTCTTCCTGAAACAAGAATCAAAAGGCTGATCAATCACCATAACCAGAGCTCCGTTCTTTCATCATATACCAATAATGCGATCATGAATCTAGTCAATACCTCTGGCAACAGCTTGACGTCTCCTCCTTGCAGCAAACACTCAAACTTACCTCTCCACCATTCCTTCGTTCTTCCTAACGGCGACTAACGGTCACTACTCTGTAGCTCAATCGCCTGCTTCCACTTCTTCCTCTTCTTCCTCTTCTTCCTTCTTTTTTCTGTCCCATGACAGCCTGCCCACCAGCAGCTACCCAGCTCCAATTGCCTGAGGCCTTCTTCTATCAGACTATGAAAACCGCCCCACCAGCTTACAATGGCTAACTGTCAGTCCACCGTTACTTCATTCCTCTTCCTAACGGCGGCTAACGGTCGGCGCAATCGCCTGAGAGCTTCTTCTGCTTCGTGCTTCATCCATCAAAGACTCTCCCGTCTCTCCACTGCCCAACCACGTAACGGTGGCTAACGGTTACTACCAACCCCGTGGCCCTTGCTTTCGACTCCCTCCTCCTCTGTATCTTCTTGCCGAAAGCAACCAGGCATAGCTTCGTAAAGGTGGCTAACGGTCACTACCCCGTTCCGTTACCGCTCTTTTTTTTCTTTTTTTGTTTTCCCGAAGAAATTGGTCATGCCATTGCACAAGGAAAGAACGAGCCCCGGAGCTTAACGCAGATTTAACAATGGTTAGCTGCTGGTTCATCTTGTCGTCGTCCTTTTTCAAGAACATAACCAAGCACAGAGCGCACAATCCGCCCCCCCCTGCCCCTCTCCTCCTCCTCCTCCTCCTCCTTCAGCGAAGTGCAGCTCATTCCCTCACACCCCTCCACCTACCCGCTAGATCACTCACCTTATTTTCTTCGGCACTGACCAGCCGCAGGAGGGGTGTGAGGGAATGTCCCGACAAGCTTGTCCCGTTATCCACCGCAATGATCTGCGTCCTAGTAGTCCACCAAAGTCCCCTCCCCCCTCCTCCCACCCCTTCTTCCTAAACTGCCATGCAGGTCGTACCCTCTCTTGCCCTACTGCTCACCTCTGGTTCCCTGCCCTAAGGTAGTCTTCGTCGGAGGAGGAGGACGAGGAGAACTCTCATCGCTCGTCCGTTAGTGACCGTTAGTGACCGTCAACGACCTCTACCTTCTTCATATTGTCTTTCTCCCTGCCCGCGTAACTTTCCTCCCCTCCTCCCTCAGCTCCCTCCAGCTTCTTGCCTGCCCCGTTAACCCCTTCTTGTCGACCGTTAGCAGGTGCATTGCATGCAAGTTACCTTCTTCTTGTCCATCGGACGCCATCTCTCTTTCTCAATGCGCTGTACTCTCTCTCTCTCTCTCTCTCTCTCTCTCGTCGAACCTTCTTGTCCATCGGACGCCATCTCCCTCTCTCTCTCTCTCTCTCTCCTCGTTCTCTCTCGCTCTCTTTCTCCTCTCCTCTCCATCCTCTCCATCATCTCTTCTTCTTCGACGAGGACAAGCGCAACCGCGCAACCTCCCCATGACGGAGAAGCCTCAGAAGAGTAATCGAGACGACGATGCTCAACTGCGCCCAGCCCATAGCTGATGAGCCCCGCTGCTCTCCGTGCGGTGCGTTCCACAGGCAGCGACTTGTTCGAGTGGTCCTCTTCCTCTGCTTCGACCAAGGGCAGGGGCGTTTCTTCGCTGACCATTCACTGCAAGTTCATCCGCCAAGAGTAGCTACTTCTTCCACCAAGGCTGTGCGTTTCTTCGCTGACTATTCACTCAAAGTTCACCCTCTCACCCTCAGTCGACAACGACCAGCCATCCAAAATCCAAAATTAGCCCTCCAACCGCCTCCCCCCCTTGGCGTACTAGCCGTGTCCCAACATCCTACACACCGCCACCCCCCCCCCCCGCCCCCCCCCC